TTAATGAGAAGCCTTTTGCTATCTTAATCACGCTGCCTGTTTATAAATTAACTCTCTGAGGCAAAGGATATGTTGCTCCCAGCTTTTGAATTCATAATTTATCACACTCAGTCTGTGTTGTAATTAAGCACTCTATCTGGGGTGAGGATGAATAGATCCCTGGTACAACCCCCTTCCCCCCTCCAACCTTGGTCATTGGTGCCCTTGTTACAGGGTGCCCAAGCTATCAGGGAAAGCAGGTTCAGTGGGGTCTTGGCATATGAGGCAACAGTCCCAAGAGGGTCTTTATCTATACATGTGTATAGGTGAGACGATGAGTTTGAAATTCTGGCATATGGGCGTGTTTACAAAGCAGATTACATTGTGTGAATCTACAATGCTGTGGAGTAATGTCTCGTGAACACAGCGAGAGCCCCATAATACAGCTTATTGTGCTACGTAGCAGTGTGCTAAGCCTCACTCTGGCTTTTTCCTGCATTATAAGAGTATCCATTCAGGATTGCTGTGAAACGAGCTTGTGTGTTACAAATTCATATCCTGGTCTGTAGCATGGCAATTTGCCGTGTAGACAAACCCTCAGACAGGTAACAGTAAACTTTTTCCAGCTAATATGCATAGATCCCTGCAAATTTATGGATAGCCACATCATATCTGCAGAAAGACATGGATGATTTTTGTGGATCATGGATTGGATACAAAGGCAAATGTATCTGTGTAAGGCTTCACATATGCACGCTATCAGTTCCTCTACTCAGAGCTGTCCCTACATTGGACAGTTTTTAACAGTTGCCCAGGATGTCCTGGGGGATTATTGGGAGTCTGGCATTGTCGCCAGGGGTTGGGCTCATACTTTTTCACCAGTGGCAAAAGGAGAAGTGATCCAGCCCCAGTCTGCTCTGTACCGCCTTGCCCTGCCATGTCCCAGCTGGGTTGCTCTGTTTCTTGGTGGCAGAGGGAAGTGGCGTGCCCTGGCCCCAGACTGATCTGCTCCCTTGAGTGATGAGGCTGGGAGCTAGGGTCACTCTGCTTCCCACCACTGCAGTGAGTGCAGAGGTCTGACAACTACTGCTAGCAGCAGGCCTCCTGGTAATCCCCTGGGTTGCATCATTTGGAAAAGGTAATGGGGATGGAGGAGGGGTGGGAAGACGCGGAGCAAGGGCTTATAGCCATGTTGTCCAACATGCTAGCTCAGAGGTGGACAGTAATTTTTGGTGGGGGCCGCTCTTTGGAAAGTGGTCAAGGGCCACTTTTCTGTGGTGGGCGTGCGGGTTTAGGATGGAGATTGGGCACAGAAGGGTGCATGGGGTAAGGGACTGGGGTGCAGGAGATGGTGTGAGGTCTGAGAGGCAGTTTGGGCAAAGGAGAGAGTTGTGACTTGGGTCAGGGGATTGAGGTTTAGGTGTAGGGTCAGGGAGGGGGTATGGGTGCAGAAGAGGATTCTGGCCTGCGGGAGGGGGTGCAATGTCTGGGAGGGAGCTGTGACATGGGAGAAGGGGAAAAGGAGATGCAGACTGCAGAGGGTGTGGGTGCTGACTTAGGGGTAGGGGAATGGGGTGCGGTGTCTGGGAAGGTGTTTGGGTACAGGAGAGGATTCTGGCCTGTGGGAGGGGTCTAGAAGGAGGTGCATGGTCTGGAAGGGAATTGTGACCTGGGGAAGGGAGGTGCAGAGGGTTTGGAAGGTGACCTGGGGGAGGGAGTTGGGAAGCAGGAGGGGATGGGGTGCCAGAGGCAAGCTTTGGCCGGGAGGTGCTTACTTAAGCAGCAGCCGTGCAGCACTCCAGGACAGGCTCTCTGCCTGCTGCAGCCCTGCTTGAAACTGCAGGGCTGCTCCCTCTATGTGGCTGGGG